TGGACTTGATGGTCTTAAAGGTCTTTTTCAAACTGTCTGATTCTGTGATTTTTCTTCTTTCTTTGACTCTCACACAGCAGCTGAGGGGGTCGCAGCAGTTCTGGGCACAGCGGAACCATGTGTGCAGTGAATTCATCTTCCTGCCCAGGGTAGATCTCACTGAGCCACATTAAAATGCTTTTTCAATTTCTCCCCACCATGTTGTGGCCCATGTTGAAACCAGAGGTTGGATCTTTCTGCTCCTCCACAGAAGAGGTGACTGAGCCCACTCCCATGGGAAAAGCAGCACTAGGAAATGTTGAGTCTGGTCCTAGTGGGACAAACTGAAGTGGTTTGGGTTTTCTGCCTTGCTCTGAGAAAACAAGAGGCCTTGGTTTAAGTCTTTTTAATCTTTCTCCGGAGAAGAGATGCTGATTAGCACTGCACAGCATCTGTTAGAGATGGGCTGAACTGTGGCAGCCGTAATGTTGACCTTGAATTTGGAGTTTTCTTGCCAACATCTGAGGAAACTATTTACATATTTGAACAAACTATGGCTTCATAGAAATCAAAGTAGATTTCTGCTTGGTGAAAGGGACTCATTTGCTTGCTTTCTTTTAAAATCATGGAAACTCTTATTTGCCAGATTCCATAAGGCATCAGCTTTATTTAATTTCTGTTACTTTACTTATTTCTCTGCCCAGCACATGTAAAATAATATTCTTGGTATACATAGTTTTCTGCCTTAAGTTTCCATCAAAGGGCAGCTTGACACAAATTATACAAGAGGATGGATGTGGGAACAAAGGGGGTATAATTAGCTGCAGATAAACAGAGCTGTGTTTCTCGTCAGCATCCTTTCAGATCTTAACTTGTGTCTCACCCTCTTGGAGCTAATTCTTTTCCACAGACTGAAAGAGGAAGGCAAGCTTTCAACCAGCTTTCACCCAGCCTTCACCTTGAAGTGAGCTCAACTGAAATGAAAAGTGTGTCTATGGTCTGCCTGCATCTGGAGAAGAGGCTGTGGCTGCTCTTAGAGCTCGTGTTATTTCAGGATATTCTCTTTCCGGGTGCCTGAGCTGCGACTTCTTCTTCCTCTTCTTCATTTTCTTGTTCCCCTCCACCCTTTCATGTCCTGTCTTTAGCACCACAACAGCACACACATGTCCTGCTCAAGCAGCTGTTTTGTTGGAGTACATCTGTCAACAGATCCGAACTTCATTTGGGTTGCCATAATCTTACCTTTTAAGTGGGCTTGTTTCCAAGGCGGGGGGCAGAGGTGAAAAATCTGATCCAGAAAAAACCTAACTTGTTTTACCCTTCTTAACTCTTTGGTGTATTGAAGCTGAGTAGGTGGTGGAGTTTCTCCTTGCTTCTGTGGGGTTTGGGTCTCGGTGGGGTGAACTGCAGCCACAGCTCTTCCCTATGGGGCTGGTTTCCTCATTCCCACACTGAGCGTGTGGGGAGACCTTGCAGGGGTGACTCTTGGCACCTCTGATGGCCAAGCTGCCACGCTGCTGCAAGCTGGGCTCTAAAGAGAAGGGGGAGGAAAGAAACCTGGCGTTGGCTTCCCCCCCTTCTCAGATGTGGGGCGAGGGCCCAGATGGTATCCCAGATCTCTGCCTATGGGATTTACACAAGGTTTCCTGTTGAGAGAGCTGCTCCTAATCGCTGCCCTTCTGTGCTGCGTTGCAGATCAGGACCAGATGAACAGAGGAAGGTTCCTGTGAAGATCAGAGTCGCCCCAGCCCTGCCCCAGGAAGTGGCCCAGCAGCGCTGCATCTCTGTCTGTCATCACGACAGACCTGGAAAAGAAAGAAGAAGCGAAGAAAAATGTCCCATGCTTTAAAGCAAGTGTTCAATAAAGACAAAACCTTCCGGCCCAAGCGCAAGTTTGAGCCGGGGACTCAGCGGTTTGAGCTGCACAAGAAGGCTCAAGCCTCCCTCAATGCTGGCCTGGACTTGAAAGTTGCCGTCCAGCTGCCACCAGGAGAGGAGCAGAACGACTGGGTGGCCGTGCATGTGGTGGACTTCTTCAATCGCATCAACCTGATCTATGGCACCATCAGTGACTATTGCACAGAGCAGTCGTGCCCCGTCATGTCGGGGGGACCCAAGTACGAGTACCGGTGGCAGGATGAGCACAAGTACCGGAAACCCACGGCCCTGTCTGCTCCCCAGTACATGAACCTCCTGATGGACTGGATTGAGGTACAGATCAACAACGAGGACATCTTTCCCACTAATGTCGGTGAGTTCAATTCCAGTGGTGGCTGGAAGGAGGGAGGTTGGTGCAGAGCCTTCTCCTTTGAGCCCTCGGATCCCCTTTGTAGAATCATAGAATCACAAAATGGTTTGGTTTGGAAGGGACCTTAAAGCTCCTCCAGTTCCAACCCCTGCCACGGGCAGGGGCACCTTCCACTAGAGCAGGTTGCTCCAAGCCCTGTCCAACCTGGCCATTAGATCTGTTCCAGGAGATGCTGTTGCACAGGCCAGCCTTGTAGCAGAGCTATTTCCTCTTACACTGCTCAGAACCTCGCAGTGTAGTGAACTCTTCTGAGCACTGAAGAAACTTCAGAGCTCTTCTGGAGTCCTAAAACTCCCGGAGCTCTATCAGATCACATTTGGAGCCATGGATACCTCAAGTAAAGCCAAGCTGTGCCTAAGCAGTGAAAACAAGAGGCTGCTCTTAGAACAGTCAGTCTCTGCCATGACTCTTGAGCAGCTGACGCTGGCCGTGGTCTCCTGAAGGCCAGCTCTGTCCGAGCTGATTGCCAGTTTGGGTTCCACGCGCGTGCTCTGCGTCGGCTGGGTGATGGTGGCCACGTTTCCATAATTAGGCTCTTTGTCATTACACGCTGGCGGTCGCTGACTCTGCCCTTTCAAGCTCAGTGCTTCCTGGCGTGTGCTCGGCTGTTGGTTGCAGCTGGGGGGATGCTGACACGTGCATGGAGGGAGGGGCAGTGTTTCATCTATTGCCAGGGTGATGGAAATGAGAATTTGGCATAAGACACCTAAATCTGCATATCCAAACGCCTCTTCGTGTGCTGGCTTTGGGACAAAGAGGGTTGGGGTTTTTGTTTATTTTTGTGTTGAGGAAGAATGGAGAATTCAATATTTAAAGCATTAAGTGAATATGATTCATCCCATTCAGAGCTGCCATCTTCTGAGATGCAAAAGACAAGATGCAGCAGAGCTCCCTCCCTCCTGCCCCAGCCTTTATCCCATGGAAGCTGTGATGGGATGCAGTTGATCTCTATCGGGGACATGTCTGCCGCACAAGTGTCCACAGGGCTCTTCCACCCATGCCAAAATACTGCTTAAACCTGGTGTTGAGCAGGCAGAGGGGGGAGTAAGGCCACAAACAGTCCTTCAGACAGCTGAGACACTGAAATCCTCCCCCCTGTTCCTCCTGTTGCCCAAACAACGGCTGCGTTGCCTTTAGCTTCAACTCTCCTGCAAGGCTCTCTGGGGACTACAAGCAGAGTATTTGTTCTGCTCAGGGAGGCAAGACAAGTTTCCGACAGCAGGAGGGTTGTGGTTTGGAGGGGTTTTTAACTGTAATTGTTGTTGTCAGCTCAGTTTTTACCAGATTCCTCACCCTTAGCACCAACTGCAATGCTGCAGCTTTTGCAGAGCACTGAAAGGGTTTCGCTAATCCTTGTTCCTCCAGAAACAACCTGTGTGAACTTTAAACTGTGATATATTGCACGGAGATGGCTGGTTGGCTCCACTGCAGGGCCCTGACTAAACAAATCCCAAAGGACTGATCCCTTCAAAGAGACCTTAACATCTTTAATGTTTAACCAAAGAGCTAAAGACACATCGAAATAAGAGAGAACTGTGGGGAGCTAATGTCACCGACTCTTTCTTCTGGGAAGTTGTTTGGCCCTATCTAGTGTTTTGTGCTCTTTATATAAACATGAGAAAGAGGAGTAGAAGCGAACTCTATTGGACTGAAGCAGGTGCTGGGAATCTGGGAATCTCCAAGGCCAGTTTCTTACAGCTCTCAGTCGCTTAAGAAATCTGTGCTTTGAAAAACCTGATCCAAGGCAAAAGGAGAGGGGAACTGGAAATTCATAGCATCCCAGACTGGTCTGGGTTGGAAAGGACCTTAAGGTCATCCAGTTCCGACCCCCCTGCCGTGGGCAGGGACACCTTCTGCTAGAGCAGGTTGCTCCAACCTGGCCTTAAACACTGCCAGGGATGGGGCAGCCACAGCTTCCTTGGGCAGCCTGTTCCTGTGCCAGGGACAGAAGCATTTTTGTATCAATCTCTCTGTTGTATCAATTAATTTTAGCCCCAAAGAAGCAGTTTTAACTTGACTGAAAGTTTCTCCTGGTCACGTCTTCCCTCCCAGGTACTCCCTTCCCCAAGAACTTCCTCCCAGTGGTGAAGAAAATTCTCTCCAGGCTCTTCCGGGTCTTTGTCCATGTCTACATCCACCATTTCGACAGGATCACCCAGATGGGCTCAGAAGCCCACGTGAACACCTGCTACAAGCACTTTTACTACTTTGTGAAAGAGTTCAATCTGATAGACACCAAGGAGCTGGAACCACTGGTGAGTGTCCGGGTGGGCTCAGGGTACACGTTGGTCTGTCGGGGTCTGGGGCAGTGCAGAAGGGCTGGGCTAGGGATGGAGGGGTCACAGAGGTCTCCAGACCTTCAAAGGTCCCTTCCAACCCACACTGTTCTATGATTCTATATGAGGGGTGATGGTTTGAAACTAAACAAGGAGACATTCAAGCTGGTTGTGAGGAAAAAATTCTTTACCATGAGGGTGGTAAAACACTGGCACAGGTTGCCCAGAGAGGTGGTGGATGCACCATCCCTGGAGACATTCAAGGCCAGGTTGGATGTGGTTCTGGGCAACCTGATCTGGTTGAAGATGTCCATGCTCATTGCAGGGTTGGTCTAGATGAGCTTTGAAGGTCCCTTCAAACCCAAACTATTCTATGATTCTACCTTCTCAAAACCGGTTACCCAAATTCGGGCTACCAGTTGGCCTTGCAGCTTGACCATCAGGAAACTGGGAGTCAGGATGTGCAGACACAGCTCAGCAGGGTATGAGGTGGGAGAAACTGACTTGTTCTCCAGCAGCCTCCTTGAGTTTCTAGCAGCTGGTTTGCCTTATTTGTGTGAGCCTGGCACTGTTGGCCATCCAGGACGTGGATGCGCTTCCTTCCCTGTGCTTACTTCCCATGCTGAACCAAAAGGGCAACGCCGCCACCTTCGTAAGGAATCTGGAGGATGGAGAACATGACCTGGTAGACCCAGGAGGTGCTGATGGTGTTTCCAAAGCTGTTAGCAACAGAGCAAACCTGCAGAGCCACTGGGCAGTGGAAGGGTGTCCTGTGGTGCCGGGGAATGGGAGTGGTGGGGGGAACGCGGACCTGCCCAAACCAGAGCTCTTGGGAACAGTGTCACCGCGTGGCTGACTAAACAAAGGTGAGGTTTTGTCATCCACACCCTCCCTGTCAATCTGGATCTTCCTTCATGGTCCCTTGTCTTTTCTGTCCCTTTGACAGAAGGAAATGACCTCCCGGATGTGCCACTGAGCTCAGACCTTCCTGCTCCCACCTTGGTCTCTCGCGAGGACTCTGAGTCCCGCTCCTGCATGGGAGACGTGATTCAGGGGGAGAACAGAGACGTTTTGTTAACAAATCTATATATTTTTAATGAGTTTCAATGTCAAACTGTGATACTGCAGGAATATTTTTTTAAAGATGCTCTAGATAAACTAGTTTTTTATAGTAATTTCTATTAAAAAAAAAAAAAAAAGAAAATATTTGGGGCCACTTGATGGAAATGCTCACTCGTGGAGGAGGGAAGAGCCACCCTGAGCTGCCTCCTCCCCATGCCCTCCTGCAGCAGCACCATGTGAGCTGAGCTAGATGCTTCCAATAGAGCCGTGTCCTGTAGCAGGTGCTGTCATGGAAGCGGTACTTCCCTCCAGACACCCAATTCCCACCCGTGAATGGTGTATGTGGGGTGGACGTGGATCCCCTGGGGTGCTGTTTGGTTCCAGCACCTCTTCCACTGGCTGTGAGTCCAGTTTTTGGACAGAGCTGCTTTTGTGCTCGCCCTCCGCTTGGCATCCTGTCCCCAAGGCTTGGCCCTCGTTGCTTTCCCTCAGTTGGATTTGGGTTTCTTCCATGGCAAGACCAGTGCTGCCGCTGGTAAGGGATTGCTGGCGCTCTGCTGTTGTTAATCTGCTCTTGCATCTTAGAGCAGCTCTGAGCTGAGCTGCTCCCCGTGCCCAGCCCAGCACAGGGACCAGGCTGGCAGCCTCAGGCCAAGCAGACCTGTGCCTCGTGGGGACGAGCAGAGGGAAGGCGCTGGGACAGGCGTGGGGAAGTCTTCTTCTCAAACACCTGCACTTACCACCTCCCTGCGGTGCGCTGACCCTGCCAAGAAGGAACTCGCTGCCTGCACATGGGCCATTTTCTGCTTCCCATTAGGGTACGGAGCCTTGTCCCTCTTCCCAAGCAGCATGTCCCCACTCAGCTGCACACACCTAACCAAAATCTCTGGTGTGCAGGCAGAAGCCACCAGCCTTGCCTGCTGCTTGCACAAGCTGCTCTGCTGCGTGAGGAGAGCTTGGCAGTGCCCCCGAGGTAGGTAGGTTGCTCCACCTAGGATTTTGGGGGGAGTGGGTGACCAGGGTTTACAGGAAGAGAAAGGGTTTCTATGACCAGTGACCAAACTGTACCACTAACCACTTCTTCCTTACAAAGTTTTTCTGTGTCCTGGAATCTCTGTACATACGTGACTATCAGTAGGACACTTGTACAAATACCACTATAGTTCTCTGAAATGGAACCAATAAATTATGTTGTATTTACGTATCCCATTGCTGGATGTCTTGTGATTACTCGTTCTTCAGAGGCTTTCTATCAGCAAAACGAACGCAGTGTGTGTGGACTCCTCGGGAAGTACTGGAGACCTGTTTCCTGCAGTTCCTAATACTCCTGGCTGTGTGCTCCTGGCTTGGCTGCCCTAAGGTTTGATTCCTCCTGCTGTCAGGGTGCCAGATCTGGGCTGCTCCGAGCCCCACGCGTGTTCCCAGGGCTGTGGGGCAGAGCAGGCTGGAGCTCAGCCACTGGGCCAGGCTTGTCCTGACTTGTCTCTGCAGTGTCCCTGGACCCAATGGCTGAGCTGTTCTGTTCTCCCAGCTCTAGAACTTGGGTGGCTGTGGGCAGCGGAGGTGAACTTGAGCTCACCAGCATGCTGATGGGCTGTTTGAAAGAGCCCTGGGCAGAGCTGCCTTGGTAAAACCTCTGCATTCAGGGTCTGCAGGTGATTTTCGTGCCTAGAAGAGGAGCCGCAGCTCCTGCCTGTACCAGCCCTGGCTGTGCCCTGCCTGCAGCAGCAGGTCCTCCCTGTGCTTTGTGGGTGCAGCTCAGCTGGAGCCGCGTCCCCCCAGCTGGGTGCTGCTGGAGGGTGCAGCGCGGCCGCCCAGTGCTGTGGTCAGAGCCCCCGTTGGAGCTGGGCCCCACCACTGCCCAGGTCAGTGCAGCATCCCCGGCCCCGGGCGTGTGCTGGGAGCGAGGCTGGATCCAGAGCACAAGCTGGGAAGGGCACAAACCCGCAGGGACCCAAGTGCTGGGGCTGCAGGCGGGGGTGAGCGGTGCCAGGACCGCGTGTGCTGCTGCTCATCTGCTTTCCCTTTCACACCAACCTCGGTGAGCACCGTGTGCGGGGCACACAGCACCCGTCCCACGGTCACCCTCAGGGCTGCGGGCGCTGCCTTCCTCCCTTTTGGGAAAGGTCTGGCTGCTTTCATGTGAGACCATCTCAGACAGGGGAGGAGGAACGATGACGAGAAGCTTTGCATGACTGGCCATGTGTGCTCGCAGCCCAGAAACCCTCCGTGTGCTGCGCTGCATCCCCAGAGCGTGAGCAGCAGGTCGAAGGAGGGGATCCCGCCCCTCTGCCCTGCTCTCCTGAGACCCCACTTGCAGCACGGGGTGCAGGGCTGGTGTCCTCAACATTCAGAAGGACATGGAGCTGCTGGAGCAGGTCCAGAGGAGGGCACGGGGATGATCAGGGGCTGGAGCAGCTCCTGTGTGGAGCCAGGCTGAGAACATTGGGGCTGTTCAGCCTGGAGAAGAGAAGCTGCTGGAGACCTCAGAGCAGCTTCCAG